CTCAGCTCTCCCACAGGTGGGAGGGGTGGGAGGGCTCAGCCTCTTCGGGCTGAGCCCGGCCGGGCTCCATGGGTAAGAGCCCGGCCACCAGGCACTTGCCAACATGCCCCACATCCAGGCCTAGCTCCACATCGAGAGGAACCAGTTGAGGTGGCTCGGACAGGATGCTGGTCAGGATGCCTCCTGGACGCCTTCCTGGTGAGGAGTTTCTGGCACGTCCTACCGGGAGGAGGCCCTGGGAAAGACTCAGGACACACTGGAGGGATTATGTCTCCCGGCTGGCCTGGGAACGCCTTGGGATTCCTATAGAGAACTCTTATGAGTTCTTAAGAGTTCTAGCTGCTACCAAGCTAGAACTCTTATGTTGTGGAAGTTTTTTTTTTTTTTGAAAGAAAATGCTTGTGAGTGCTTCAGCTTCATAAGACATAAAAAATAAGACTTTGTCTGTTTGGTGCAAATGGGAGTTTTTTTAGAGGGGACCGCAATAATAAGTTATCCATGTATCTGTGTGAGTAAAGAAGAAATGGTAAACTGAGTGAAATAAATTCAGATAGATTCATTTAGATTTAAAAATATATATTTGAAAATGACAAGTGTTTTTGCTAAAATGTGAACGATTAATATTTCAAGTCTTCAGTACAAAGCTATATGCTTTTTTAATTTCTATTTACCATTTGGTCTTTTTGAATGGGTTTGGAAACACCCATCAGTTTCAGCCTGTCTGAAATGGAATGCTGTGAGCTGCATTTAGTACTGAGAAGTGACAACAAAGCAGCAGTCTAAGATCGAACTGCTAAAGTGTCTGGAACCTGCTTGTTTAAGGAAAAACGGCTCTATTAGTCTGACACCACTCTTTCCCAATACTGTCAGTTTGGACAGCTGCTATTGTTCCCTTATCTACTTCTATATCAATTTGTGTTTCTATTCCAGAGGCGTCTGGTGACAACACACCAAGCCGGCCATCGTTCAGGCTGGGAGAGAGGAAACCACTGTTCAAACAAACACAGGGTGAACCATCAAACCAAGTGATGTAAAAATGATACTGTAAATCAGGGGTGCCCAAAGTTGGCATCCTGCAGGTTTTAGTAACAACCTTTTCAGCATGTCAATGTTCCTTTTAGGCCTTCTAATGAGTCATCATTGGATCCAGGGAGAGAACTAAAACATGCAGGATGCCAGCCCTCATGGACCGACTTTGGGCACCACTGCTGTAAATAGTGATCCAGTGAAATTATGGTGAATCGGAAAAACTTGAAAACTAGAGCTAAACATCTGCAGCAGTTCAGTGGAGTCCATCCTGGTGCGCAGTGCAACAGCTGACCTCACTGCAGAGTGGAAACGTCCACAGCAGGTCGCCATGGCACAACGCATCGGTGGGATGGAACTCACTGTCTCTGCACTCAATCTATGATACCAGGGCAAAAACTAAGGAACAAATGGCTTCATCTGGATTACACTCGCCTCTAACCCTCCCACCCTAGCCCAGAGCGGTGGCCTTCCGCCTTCTGTCCAAACCTTCATCAGATTATAATGACAGAAACCTGTAGTAACACATGCAGCATGGCACTGAGGACAACAGCTCTGATCACAACATGTTTTTGGGTCTGCTAATTTTGTTCTCCACCACAAATATTATGCATTTCCTCTTTTTCAAACAATTCTGCTAGAATTAACCTAAATCCTCATAAATTATTGAATATTTGAAGCTCTTAATGCCAGTATTTTTTTTAGCTTTAATCAAAAGTTTTTATCCCCCTCTCTCATATGAATAGAAATTGCTTTAATATATAAGTTTGTATTATCCAAGCCTGAGAGTGTCAGAAACTGACAGCAACATTAATAATAATCAATTAAAATTGTTTATTAGTAAGTTAAAAATCATATTTAATTTTTTAAAGCAAAAATACTTCTCATTGATCACTGTCCCGTCGATGTAAGTATGGTCGTTTACATAAATGGGACTGGGGTGAGGGTACAGTTTTTTGACAACTTGTCAGAAACAATTTAAACACGGATTAAATAAAAATGGCCGTTTTCCCCCAAAAAATTTCTAAGAAGAAATTTGAAAAGAAAATTCCCCCCAACCATGGTGATGAAAAAAATAAATTAAGAAAGCACAAAGCATAAATTTCTGTAAATTGTTTTAATTCTTCCTTTCTGCTGCAGCTGCTATGTCTTTTGTCTGTTTGACTTTATTGTATTTTGTTCTTGCACATTGACTATGCCATGTATTATGACAACAAAAAGATATTAATTGAAAAAAAGAACAGCATTCGACAAATATTAATTTGATTGATTTGTACCTGATGACTGATATCAACCATGAGGTACCAGTGGAAATAACTTCAGGTCGTTAGAAGATGATAAAGGGAGAGGTGAGTGCTGCGCTCTCCTCCTGACTTGTCTCCATTTGAAGCAGTTGGAGTAGATCTGAAACTCCTCTGTTGGTTCTGCCCAGCTGAAGCAGAGTTTCCTCATCTCCCTCCCAACTTCCGCCTTCTGGTGTGAGCCAGAGCACTGTTAGGACTCCAGGTCACGATCCACATACCTCCCCTCAACACTCCAAGCATCTTCGCTCTAAACCCACAGAGTTGATCAATTTGTTCTGTTTGTGATTCCAAAACCAAGAGCTCAGAAACACAGAGCTGAGGAGAGCAGCACACCTGCACACAGCTTAGTTTATGACACATCCATTACAGTGTGGGATCACTTGAAATTGAAATTTCAAGTGATTATTTGTCTTTCTGTGCCGTCTGTGGGTGGAGAAGTTAAGCCAAGGAAAGAACAAAAACAGCCTTTACTGTAAAAACAGCCTCTGCAGCAGGCCTGCCATCTTACTGTCCTTTTCCTGTCTCAGACATTGTTTTCAACCCTAATCTCTTTTCATCATAAAGTAAAACGATACAGGATGTTGAATGGGTCTTGGTTTCTAAATAGTGATTTCCATGCTGTGTGACTAATATCCAGCGTAAGCTTCTGTAATCTCCCAATTTACGTCAATATCCTTCTCTGTGTGTGTGTGTGCGTGTGTATGTGTGTGCTACTTTGGAGCAGATAAATGATGCTAGGATTTGAGGAGGCCAGTCAGATTGATTTGTATTTGCCTAATAAAAAGCTAAAGGATATACAATAAGTGACAATATGAGTCGCTGCCAAGACAATGACATTAACACCCAGACCCAATCAAGGACACTGTCGAAATCTCTTTACTCTCACACACTCACACTTCCAACATGTCCTCACATCCAGAGAGAGGGATTGCCTGAGATGGAGAGAGAGAGAGAAAGAGCAAGAGAGAGAAAGACACAGAGAGAGGGCAGTGCAGGGCATTACCTTGATGAAACAGAGCTTGATACAGTGAGCCAAGCCAACGTGAACATAGCCCTGCTTTCTTTTAATGGAGATTACACACACAAGGTCCACCCTGAGCTCATCTTGTTCAATATTGCGTACCACTACATCTTTTGTGTGTGTGTGTGGGTGTGTGTGTGTGTGTGTGTGTGTGTGGGTGGGTGTGTGTGTGTGTGTGTGTGTGTGTGTGTGTGTGTGTGTGTGTGTGTGTGTGTGTGTGTGTGTGTGTGCGTGTGTGTGTGTGTGTGTGTGTGTGTGTGTGCTGTTGTTTGAGCTTTCTTTGATGTAATATGCTGCTATTCAACCACACTGTTACCACACACCTCCTGACCTCAGATCTGGCAGCCAATCAGAACTCCCGTCCATTCCTGATCCTTGCAGTCATTCCATCATAAAGGTCGACAACTTCCACACATGACTCAGGCCTTTAGGGTCTGATTAGGGCTGGAAAAATATAATCTCAGATTGTTTTATTACAAGACCCAATTTTCCATTTGTAAATCTATATATTTTTGTTGCTCGCTTTCTTTTCTACACGAGAAATTACAAATGACAAAAAATATTTTCAAAAAGTTGCTTTTTACCACCACTCTCTTCTATGAGTCCTATGATGGAGTATTTGGGCCAGTTGTTATTGTGAGAATGTTGTAATAATAATAATGGCAAAATAAAGGTTAAATTTTACCATAAAAATTTCTTTAAATTACAATAAAAAGTTGTAATGAGAAAAAAAAAACCTTGATAGACCTGGCATGAGCAGCTCTGTTTGTGTTTATGTCTTTGTACTATTGGTCCAATGTTACTGCTATTGATAAAGACTAGATGCTGGTGTGTTTTTATAAAATAAAAAGAAATAATTTATTTCTACTAGAAATAAAATATTTCTAGTATTTTATATAAAGATCTAAAATTTCTAATAGATATTATCTGTAAAACCAACAACAAACTATACCTTCCAGATGATAACCATTCCTGGTGATTTTTTTGATTTTTGGGAGAGCTCATAATTTTACTACTTCATTCTCTGAATAGTCTGACTTTATTTTTTGTGATATAGTGATTTGATTTAATTTCTGTATTATATTGACTTTATTTTCAACTTTACTCTTGTAATTAAAATTTACAAAGTTCTTGTTTCACCCTAATACTCCATCATAGTGTTGAATTTAAAGTCCAAATAAATAGAACATGTGAAAGGAACTATTTCACATGTTGGCCTCCCTGGGTGAGCTGGCATCATTCTAAAACTCAAAGAGTGCATTGTTGGACAAAAATTCAGATTTTCCAAAAATATAATCTTCGAAAATCAAAAATTTGATTAATTGATAAAACTGATTTATTGCCCAGTACTAAGTCTCGTAAGACATGACGAATCAGAAGAAAATAGTTTCTTTAAGTCTTTAACAATATTTTCTGATAAGCCTTCATATATATTCAGTCAGAATACTGACTCTGACTTCTTGACTTTCCAACTTATGCAAAGATCTGCTCTCTGGTTGCCCTGAGACATGTCTTGAATGATTTGTAGACCCCAGGCTTATAGCTGCACCCTATGCAGGATGCCATACCGCACAATTCTTCCTCATAGTCCCAGAGTTTTCCTTCTTCCCTCTGTGGCATAGTGAAGGTTGCATTTAGATCATACATACCTCCTTGTTTACATATTTTCTTGCCCGGTTTCCTGGCACATTCCTTGGATATTCTTTTGACTGTAAAATGAATAGAAAACTAAAGAATAACATGGAGCTCCTGGACGCGCAAAGCACACTGGAGCCAGCATGCACACACATACACAAACGCACGCACACGCACGCAAACACACAGAGATGATTGACTGTGTCTCCTTCCTCCTTAGAGAGGAAGGAGGGGAAAAACAAAGGAAGGGAGAGAAAGAATGAATTACACCATCTCAATCAGAGCAGCATTCAGTCTATCAGTCAGCCAGCCAGTCATTCAGTCAGCAAAATCAATCAGTGATGATCATGACAACGACTGTCTTGTTTAATGAACTGTGGCCTTTGTGGCAGAGCACAATACGTTATGATGAGGTACAGACATGGGGGTGTAGTGAAGGCAATAAGGAGAAAGAGGATCAAAAAATGGGATGGAGGAATTAGAGGAGGATATAGAGAAGGTCAGACAGGACAGGATGGGAGAAGCTGTGAATGGACATTGAAGTTCTGACAACACATGTGCACACTGCTTTCTCTCATACAAATCACTTTCACATTATCAGGTTGGATAAACACTGGCATGCACATTAAACATGCAAAGGTCATGCTTTATGCCTACTATCAGACAGAGATGCACTCTCACACTGAACACTTCCCAACAACAAAGATGCTCTCTAAGCGATGGTTGTGGTTTTATTTCTCTCCGCCCTTCAATAACCGGCCTGACCACTGGGCCTGCAGGACTACTCACCATCCTCAGTGGGAACATAGATGTTGAGATAGAGGCAGTCCTCGCTCTGGTCCTGAACGTAAGTGGACACCACATCGATGCTGTTGGTGAACCAAACTGGCAGCATAACGTCTGGCAGGCGGCCTTCGACAATGCTCTGAGGACACACCGGGGCAAAGTGCGTGGCATTGTGAATGTCCGACCACGATGCTGGTGGCTCTGGAGGCTGAAAACGGCGCTCGCCGGTGGGCGGGGTGGCGTAAGGGATGCCCAGAAACTGGATAACGGGCCCCAGGATCTCATTGTTGAGCTCCTTCTTGATGCCGCGCAGCCTGCCGTAGGCTGTTGTGACCACCGGATCATTCTCGTCCAGTTTCTCAGCCAACACGGCAACCGGACACAGCAGAAGCAGCAGTCCAACCCATGTTAGTGTAAACACCCAGAAGCCCATGCCCAGTGAACTTCTAATTGGTTCACATCCCATCCTCCTGCCCCCATTCCTGGCAGTCTGAAAGAGAGCACTCCAAGTTTCTGAGTGGTTCCTCCACTGACACATGATTGCCAGTTCTCAGTTTAGTTTTTTATCCTTAATGAAAGTATGTTTAGTTAAACTTTTCCACTTATGCCAGATGCAACTACAAACAAAAGCCAGGGTGACTTGTGCAGATGACGGTTGCAGTTGCTAACAGCCCTTTTTATAACACAGTGATCTCCAACCATCAAGAGGAACGGTAGCAGCCATTCATTTTATTCCTGCTCATCTGAGAAATATCCCTCACTAGATGGAAAACACTCCACAAAAAGGTCCAGTCAGCATCGTCTGAAGGTAAGATGAACACTCTCATTTTCAAACATCAATTCTTGGGGGTGGAGCCGCCATTCACTGAAGAGTGCCTGTCTTTCTGAGTTGTTGAGTTGTTGACACAGGAGAAGTGGCGCAGTAGCGATTGTGGTTTAAGGGTTGATTATGTAGAGAGGTCTGTCCTCTGCAATGGAAAAGAAGAGAAAAAAAGCACTAGTCAGCAAACGTATGAAGAAAGATAATCACATTGTCAGTTCAGTGCCCTTTATTTTCACTTATTATTTATACCTTTTATTGGACATTAAATAATAAACCATTAACATTAAATTTTATCTTATACACAGATGCACAGGCATCCATCAAATAAATAGGAGCCTTTTATTTATAGCACATCATCACATGATTAAACTTCACGGTAGAAATGGTCTATCTGTATGCAGAGTTTGTTCAACAATTAAATGTTATATGAATCAGATACAGCATTAAACCATTGACAGCTTTAATGACCGTTCCGCTTGAGAACACTTGGTTCTTGGGGGATGTTACTTCAGAATGCACACCTCTCTACACCACAAAATTTGCTTAGACACGGATTGAGATCTGATCCAGTATCACTAGGATGTCCAGAGAGAATTATCCCAGGAAACAAGGACTCAAAGGTTCATCCACCAGTATCCAGACAACAGGCGACACAGAGGACCTAAGCTGTTCTGGAAACCCACATAGAGCCTGCAGGCGTGGCCAAAAGACTCAGTAGTGACACAAACATGCTTTGACAGTGGTTAATAGGGTGTATAATTTTAAAAAAGTTCCTTTATGATGAAAAATAGACCAGATTTTTTGCTATGAAATAAAATGATCGGCTAACTTCTCATCTCCATTAATAGGCTTCTCTTGATTATGAAACCCAAAACGTTTTGTTGGCCTTTACACTGTAAATATTTTATTTCTTCTTCTCTCCTGTCAATATTTTATTTCATTCCTGGGAAAATGTACTGTGAAAGCGTGCACGATGGCCAACTACTGAGCAAGGAAAGTAGTTAGTAGAAAGCACTACAGCAAGCAGCTGTACTGCTCACTGCAACTGCGTTTTCAGTGATGCTGTATGTGTTGTTGCTAGTGTCTAATAGCAAAGAAAAATGTCACTAGTAGCTGTTTTGAAACAATGTTGCCAGACTTCACTGAAAAGTCACTAAATTGCCAACAGTGCATAAGTGGTTACTGTATTTTCTGGACTATAAGTCTCAGTTTTTTATCATAGTTTGGCTGGGGTGTGACTTATACTCCGGAGCGACTTGTGTGTGGTAGAAGCTACCTCTGGAGTTCACAGAGTTTTCTAAAAGCGACATCGAGGACGAAGATTTTATTGTGTTTAGTGATTTGGAGTGACACCGATAGTTCGATAAACTTGTTAGCATGTAATTTATTCTACAGTTATCTGAATAACTCTAAATATGTTATGTTAACATACCAGGCACATTCTCAGTTCGTTGTTTGTCATATAATGTTAGCATACCATGCAATCATCCAGCCTGTTGTTGCCTCTATTCTATTTTTATTTTAAAATGCCTTTCATGATGACATGTCTGTTCTTGGTGTTGGATTTTATCAAATAAATTTTCCTCAAAAATGTGACTTGTACTTAAGATAGTGCTTTAGTCTTAGCTTCTGCTTAATAACATGCTGGCATAGTGCTTTGGAATTAGCAGAGCTAATGTTCATGATTAGTGCTTAGTGTTAACGTAACTAACTCATTCATTAACGGTCCCCATCACTGACAGATAAGAATCCTGATGTAATCCAAAGGAGTAGTTTTACTCTCAATTATTCTCAGGAACATTTTCATAAATGCAGAGTGATATCAAAAAGTACTTCAAAAGTAACTGCCATAAAAAGGAATTGTGGTGATAATCTGCATTTTCCAGCATGACAGAGCACCATGTCACGAGGTACAAATGATAAAATGGATCAGAGATTAAAAAATTACATTTTGGACCCATGTCCACAGAACTCTACAGATCAGAATCTCCCTGAGTCCCTGTGGTCAGTTCTCAGAAAGCGAGTAAGCAAAGTGAACATGAGCCAACAAACTGGAATCGACTCTAAGACCTAATAAGAAAAGATGGAATGCTATCAATCAGGAATGGTCTCAGTAGAGGATAACAGATGTTAGGGAAAAAAGGATCAACTCGGGGGGCGTGGCCTAGGTCTGACATGGAGTAGACGTGTATCGAGGGAGCTCCGACTCAACTTCAAAAGTTTTTCACCCTAAATAATATTTTAAACTTCTGCTCAGCAAATTCATAGTATACCATAACCCGATTAACAAGATGACGAAGCCCAAAGGAAATAAGAAGGACAAAAGCTCGGGGGATGAGGCCGTGGACGACCGGACCAAGCTAGCAAGCTTCGAGGTGGCTAATGCTAACACGAGCCCCGCGCGCTCTCCGGGTGCATCCGCCACCAATGAAGACGTCCTAGCTGCCATAAGCAAGCTTAGCAGCACGGTCGACACGAGGTTTGCTGAGCTCAATGGATCAATTTCCAGTCTCAAAACGGCGCTCGCCGATATTTGTGATCGTGTGACATCAACCGAGGCTGCAGTCGTGTCACAGGATAGACGGATCTCAGAGCTGGAGAAGAGGCATGATAGCCTCGCTGCTCAATGCTCTTTACAGCAAGCTAAACTGGATGATCTGGAGGCTCGCTCGCGCCGGCAGAATATCCGTATTGTAGGCATACGAGAGAAAGCCGAGAATGGTCGACCGACGGATTTTGTCTGTAAACTGCTACCCGAATTGCTGGGAGAGGACAACTTTGATCGGCCAATCGAAGTGGATCGGGCGCACCGGAGCCTAACGCAGGCCAAAGATGGGAAGGCGAGAGCCATCATCGTCAGGTTGCATTATTTTCAAGAGAAGGAGCGGGTGCTACGGCTGGCGAAGGAGAAGAGCCCTCTGCAGTACGACGGTCGCCCGGTGTTCATCTTTCCCGACCTCACGTCAGCTGTTATGAAGAAGCGTCAGGCGTTCCAAGCCATCAGGGAGCAATGCAGGTCCAAGAGGATTCGTTATGGGTTTCGGTACCCTGCGCAGTTCATGGTTACTGTGAATAACAACACCGCTACATTCAGCACCCCAGAGGAAGCCGATAAATTCCTGAGCCAGCAAATTGAGGATTGGCAATCTGGAACTAAATGAAGCAGGAGACAGACCATTTTTTTGTTGCCATGTTTGAAATCTTGAGAAAGCGAGAAGTAAAAAATTTGTCATTGAGTGAGAAATTGAACTTATTCATTTTGATACTTAATTGTGAGGTTGAGCGGCAACCCGGGTTGGAGAGATGGAGAAGCTTGTTGCTAATCCTCCACCAGGTGGAAGGCTGGTTCTAGCTTTTAGTTGGGGGTATGGAGACACCGCTCCTGGTTCTGTTCAGTTATGTTGGGGGGTGGGGAGGGTTCATTACGTTATTGGGAGGGTTGTTTCTTGCACATCGGCATGTTCTGAATACTGTACAATTATCTTCACAGTCATGCAACACATAGTTACTAAAATATATACAAATTGATGTCAACTGATCCAGATAAACAAAGTAAGTATGGAATTAATCTAATTAGCTGGAATGTTCGAGGGATAAATAGCCCTCTAAAAAGAGGTAAAGTTTATGCACACCTGCGTTCGTTGAAGGCTGATATTTGTTTTCTCCAGGAAACTCATATCAAGAAAACAGCTGCTAAAGTTCTTAGTCCCTCTTGGGCCTCCCATGTATATCAGTCAAATTTCAGCACAAAAACTAGAGGGGTTGCAATTTTGATTAAAAAACATACACCTTTTGTTCACAAACAGACTATTTCAGATCAAGGGGGAAGATATGTGATTGTTAGTGGGCTGCTGAATTCTATACCAGTGACTTTTATAAATATATATGGGCCTAATTTTGACAGTCCCATTTTTTTTCAAGACCTTTTTAATGTAGTACCGGATTGGGTTGGCTCTAATATAATTATTGGGGGGGATCTAAACCTAATCCTGGACCCAATTTTAGATAGACAACACCCTCAGTCTAATTCATTCAAGAACAGGGAGTCACTTAAAACTCTATTACAATCTCATAATATGGTTGACATATGGAGACTGCTATATCCTAATGGGAGAGATTATTCATACTTTTCAGCAGTACATAAGTCCTACTCTAGGATTGATTACTTCTTATTGGACTCTAGGTTGCTGGCATCAGTATCAAGCTGCAAATATCACAATATTCACATATCAGATCACGCTCCTGTGTTGCTGAACCTTAAACTAGATTTTAAAAAAGGGAGACAGAGCTGGCGCTTAAATAATGCACTGCTGAAAGAGAAGGAGTTTGTCTCCTATATCTCAGACGAAATTAAGTCATTTCTGAATTCTAATGATAAGGGGGATGTGGATGATTCAATGCTTTGGGAAGCAATGAAGGCTGTTATAAGAGGATGTATAATCTCATTCGAGGCAGCAAAATGTAAAGAGTCCAAGTTAAGGTTGGATGAAATAGATGACCTGTTGACCACCTTAGAAAACGCATATAAATTAAAACATAGCCCTGACATTTTGAATAAAATAACAACTCTACGATATGAATATAACTCTATTATGTCAAGAAACGTTTCTAAATTACTGGTTCAAGTCAAACAAAGATACTTTGAGTTAGGTGATAAACCCCATAAGCTATTAGCCCGCCAGCTTAAACAAACACAGGCCTCTAGAGCCATACATCGTATTAAGCTTGAAGATGGAACTTTACTCACAGATCCGGATAAAATCAACGACTGCTTTGCAGACTTCTACACTAGTGTCTATCAGTCACAAGGAAAATTGGACATTGAAAATATGGACAGATTTTTTGAAAGTTTGAATTTGCCAAAACTGCCATCAGATTCAGCTGAGGCTCTGGAAGTCAACATAACTTTACAGGAAATTGTATCTGTTATTTCTACACTTCCCAACAACAAAGCGCCTGGTCCTGATGGCTTCAGTGTTGAGTTTTTCAAGGTATTCAGTTCCAAATTATCACCTCTACTTTTGCGTATGTTAAACCACTCTAAGCAAGCAGCAAGACTGCCTCCCACCCTATACAGAGCCAATATCTCACTTATTCCTAAACCAGGCCGAGATCCAGAAGTTGTTACATCCTACCGCCCAATAT